CGCCGGCATTTAATTATTACTGTCATTAATCATCGGCGCTGTTATCGAAATCTAGCATTACGATCTACGAGAGTCATAGACATTTTTAAAATAATACATGAAGACAATGTTAACGCAGCGGTTATAGCATTAATTCGCCACGTCAGGTACGGATAAACTCGTTATATAACTCGTCAAGAAACAGAACTTTTCACGACTTGGGGGGCTTGCTACATAATGAACGTAATCGCGTATCTATAATAGGCAACGGTTTATTTGTGGACGCGCGCGAGCGGATTCCGCCTACTCGAAATCCGCTTGAAAACGATGCCGGTGAAACGTGTGAAGAGGTTTTATCGCTCGTCCGCGTTTCGTGGTCCATTTCTTCGCGCCTATCTCCGTCGCTATTTTATTTATTATCACGGTCGCCGCGCTGCGAACCGAGATTACGTGGCATTGCGCGACACTTCGTAACCACCGGAGAAACAAGAGTTTGAGCCGGATAAATATAGCCTTTCGATACTTCTTCATGCATAAGATACAATAAGATATAAGGTCGAGAATGAGAAACATGATACAAGAGAATTCAACCCACATCAAAAGGCGTATATCGGTACGCAACCTGGGTGTTAGGTATTCCTTTGTATATACTACTCGCATTTTATTTAGATCTATGACGTTGAAATATATTTCCACTCTATTTGATGCAAATGGCCGCATTCAGCGGGAAAAGCAGCTGTTGTAACATCCTTTTATATGATTACCTTTAATTCCTTATTGAATATAAATGTACAAATCAATTAAAGAATCTTACAACAGTTGCAAAGTTATTGTTTCTAAACGCAACCATTGGGATTGTTCTGTTTATTTTGGTTTGATCATTTTAACAACACCTGCGAATAAATTAATACTTGGAGAAAAAATATCGTATCAGGCTCTTAAATTTAACAATCAATTTGGTAATAATTCTAGTTTAAAAAAATTCTAAAAATTTTGTTCGGTTTTTTTCAGCTGCTATATCTTATTTGAAGAGAGCCTATTTTGAAAGAATAGAAACGGTAAAAGATATGCTGGCTTTTCTTTTTCGTTAAAAAAGAAATTTCAATCACTTTAGATAAGAGTCGATATTCTTTGTTCTTCGAGTTCTCGCTCGATCACGCTTAGGTAAGGAGCGAGAGTGGAAATAGATTCGACGTTCTCTCCGAGCGTCCGAGCCGTTGAGAACGCGCGAATCATTGCACTCTCACCGTCTCGCGATACGAATCCAATCGCAACGTTCAACAAGCGAATAAATACGAAATGGATATCCGTTATCCGTACAATAGAATTGAATTCGTTAAGCAGAGATAGGAATTCGAAAGAGTTTTCGAACAGTATACAAATTTTTATTGCAAGTGCTAAATATATAAGATAAAAATATGAAACAGACGAGATCTCTCTTTCGCATAAATTTCTCAAGCGGGACATTGTCATAAACAGGCGATTCTTTCTAGATGTTACAGCATTTTGTTGTTTGTGCAGATTTAATATGTTATATAAAGAAGTAAGATATTACAACAAACCTGTTTATCGTTCAGCTTCATTAGGGATGATAAGAAGGATGATAAGAAGGATCATTAATCAAAGATTTATACGCTAACTTTAATAAATCTAATGTAAATAAAAGTCTCCATTACATTAATTAGTATTACTATTATACATAATTCTGCAATTCTAAAGTATTTTTTTCAACTAAAATTTAGCTCGTAATGCACACATATATTCAAAGATTTGTATCTTTACTTTTAGCAGAATCAATTTTCAAGCTTTTGGCTTAATCGCATGCAAGATTAATGTGATAAAGATAAGAAAACTGATAAATATCGTGACATAATGGTCCGTGTATTCTCATATGTAAATTAGATGATTGTAAGTTAAATATAAGCGGAAAAAAGACCGGTTATCGACCTTTGATCTACGAAATAGATGATCGAGACAGGTATCAAGTGCCTGACATCGTCGTTGAGGAAATTCAGCTCGACTTTGACGTCACACCGATAAACGAGACACTGACAAATGGAGTTTCGCTGCACATGTATAATAAAAAGATTGGCCGTGCCGATCAGTGTCATAAAAATAGCATTGATAAGAACGACATTATTGTTTTACGTGGTATTTGACGTCAAACTCGACCATCACTGCGATAAACGAACGAATTGTACAAGTGTATAATACAAAATTAAATATATACAGAAATATCAAATATGTAATATAAGAATTATATCGCAGTACAAAACAAGAAATAAACCTACCAAATCTACATCGAAAGAACAATTTTGTTGGAGTATTAAAAAATTTAGCTACATATATACAAATCTGAAAATAATTTAGTTGATCTATCCAAATAATTACAGAATTATAGAATAGTCGAGCTTAGACATTGATGGCAAAGTTTTAATATTTCAGCCACCAGTTTAAGCGTCCTACATAATTATAATGACGGTCCAAACAAAGTTATTTTCAGATTTGTATCTAACTAAATTTATAGATACTTTAGCAAAATTTGTTTCCATACATACACTGATTGTTGAAGACCTAAAGCCTTTACTAAGGCCTCGATGGTTTAAAGGTTTAGGATGCTCACACGCAATCCTAGAGATCCGGGTTCGACTCCCGGCCGGGATAATATTTTTCCCAATAAATTGTTTATGAATTTTAATATATTTATCAGCATTATTAGGATCTTTCTAAGATATCTATGAGCATGAAATTATTAGATCGCTAGGTAATTTAATTTGTACTATACGGTTCTGTCGTATAGCGTTTCAAGACTGAAGAAAATCGTTGTTTGACGGAATTTGATACGTAATAAATAAATTCGCATCGAATTATTCAAGCATCAAAGAACCAGCTTGGTCCGTTATAGGCTCCATTTCCTATTGGTTGTGTATTTAGCAAAACTGTTCTTTCCGTGTATAAACGAGCGTTAGCCATTTAACTATGTTCTTCGCCAAGCGGAAGTTTATACGTATACAATTAAAATTCCAGAGGAAAACCGTTTGTCAAAGTCATCCAGTCTCACGGAAAGATCTCATAATCTAATCGGACATTCGCGTTACGGTCGCATTCCTCCCGAGTCGCGTGGTTTTTATGTCGAGCGATCATAGGTCGGCTTCGCCATCCGCGAGTCGTACGACCTCGCGGATCCGCTGATGTGGGACACCTCGATAAGAATACACACACGGAGGGCCTTGACAGAGACGCAACCGGCTCCTCCCACGAGTGGCCAAGAGAGAAACACGCGCGCTTCGTACGACGCGTTGATCGCCAGCGTCTTTCTACGCGGCCGCCGCTCGGCCCAATCGAAACGAATTTGCCAGACGCTCGAGCGATCTCTCGCGCGGATTTCAACAGCGAGGGGAACGCGCCGCAATAATGCGCGCGCGCTCCGTGACGCAACACGTGACGCTTGCGAAATAACCGTAAAATAGATGCAGAAAGGGACAGTAACACTTTAACGACGCGCCGCGCCGCACCGCGCAGGTGAGAGTAGCGCTTTAACGCGCACCGCTTGATCCGCCGAGGAATTCCTCTGCATCTCAAAGTGTACTAAGAGACGTATACGTACGCGAGACGTGGTTTTAACATGTTTCGTGGCAGATCTACCTCCGGAGGAAATTTTACAGAATTAATTAGATACTCAAATGTGCTTAAGCGTGCCGAGTATTAAAAGATTTCATAAAATTAAATTTTATTGTTTTTCTATTTTATTTCGAGAGAAGGAAATATTTAATACACCAAAAGTACGCTTTAAAAATAACACGTAAAATAATTAGAAGAAGAAGAGGCAACGTGAAGGAATTTCTGTAGCCTACATTTTACAGATTCAAAAGCCGAGAGAAAAATACATAAAGAGCTTCAGTCACGTCGTACGACGAAAGAAAAATAATGCGGACAGAGCGGGAAGAGGAAGAGAAAAAAAATCATGCGACCGAGGAGAAAACGCAGTTGCCCGAAGCAACGCTCACGCACGATTTGCCAATCATAATGAGATCGGTTATTGCGCACCACTCGCGCGAGCATTTCCACGTGCATACCACGTCCCGGTACGTGCCGGCAAACCTTGAAAACCAGCCGCATTCCTTCTGCAGGGCTAAACCAGAGCGTACTACGGCATTAAAGCGCAGTGATGTCGAGAACGAAGCGGACTGATCGGCGAAACGTTCGCGAATCGCGAATCGCGCGACGCCGCCACCGCCGCGTATCTCGTACTCGTTTTATCGATCAGCTCCACTTTTCTCTGCGAGTCTTACAGCGAAGCTACGAATCACCATACAAAAGGCAACCCAAAGGCTATGAAATGAACGCGACTTCTAACATTCAACATCCAAGTTCTGCATCGTATATATTTTTACTGACTTCCTATTCGTTTGCACAATTGAGTCTCATTAAAATCTATCGAATATGTATATATCTGGAAATCGTAAGCTGCGTCTTTAGCGTAGCACCGTACTTTACATTGGCGTTATCCAAAGTCGTAAAAGCCGATTTGTCGAATTTCAAGGAGCTATAGATCCTGATTTTGTGCACTATATCTATTATGCAATATCGCCTTGGAATATGTAATTTTGCGGAATTAATACATTATATATTATGTATTATCTTTTAACGCATGCTGACATTTCGATATATAGCAAACGCCGTAATAACGCGTTACGAGTAATAGCACGCTGTTTATATTAATAAATTTAATATTATCTACACACATCCGGACGTAATTGTGTATTCTTTATTAAAGTCAATATATTGTTGAAACATTAATAGGATCCTACGTACTAGTAATAGTGCTTTTAAAATTTACAATTTTGATGTCTTGGTAACTTAAACCGCAAAAATTGTACTGTGCTTTTGTATATTTAAAATTGTTCGAAGCAATATAACTTTGACGGTTCTTATAGTAGAACATATGTTTAAGTTACGCGAAGTGTCAATTTCAGCTTCGTAAGAAAGTTTTCTTACATCTGTCTTCTATATAATTTTAGAACTGGCTTCCACCGACCGTGCAACGTTGCACGCTCCAATTCTGCATTACGAAAAGAAGAGAGAGAGAAAAAAAAGAAGAAATGCATAAATGTGCGGAGGAGACATGTTTTACATGCGTGAGATACGTGATCGTCGTCGATGGCGAAATCGTGACGGTAAAGAAAAATAAGCATCAAGGCCGGTCGTAGAGAGTCGATCGAGAAAGAAGATATAAGGCAGGAAAGCGCGAAGTGACAGGAGAGAAGCGGGGAAAGAGAGAGAAGGGGTATGGGCGGGACAGAAAAAAAGAGAGAAGAAAAGATATTTGCGGTAACGTAATTCAACCTGACCACTTTCGGGGCCGTTTTTCACCACGCTCGAAATTCGCCGGCCTCTAATTGGCCCTGCACAACGAAGTCGGGGCGTCCGAGGTAAAATCTTTTGGTTCAGCTGCCGTATTTAGACGGACGTTAATTATGCACTTTTACCTTAGACGGCCGTCACCCGTTTTGAACGCCCGTGCACACGCACAACTTACGTCTTACTTTGCTGGCTATATGTATTATATATCGGACCGTTAGATTGTAGATTTGTCGATTTGGAAACGGAGAGATTAAGGAGGTTGTAAGGGCGTAAAACACATATATTAATATTTTTGCTTTAAACAAACCACATACATGTGAAAGTTGTGTTCATAACATTCTGGTTTTATTGAGCAACACATTTTTATAG